AAGTTTTGCAATTAAAAAAGGCCAAACCCTTCTTGGCCCTGACTGCTGTGGAGCTCAGCAGTTTGAGGCTGCAGCGCAGGCAGCCAGGGAAGAGCCTCATCACACTCCTCCCTCCCTGCCGCTTCCACAGCCGCCTTGGGAAGGAAGAGGGAATTGGGGAATTAGCTGCTTTTCCTACAGCCTTTTTCTTTCCAAGAGAAGATGCAGATGCAGTGGTGAACCATGTGTCAGGGGGAGCAGTTATTGCCCAGGCATCTGAGTGATCCCCTCCTGCAACAGGAGGCGATGGAAGGGATGGAAGGGGGAGACAAGAGCACTTCTATGGTGCTGTACAATATCAAAGGGCACTGAAACCCGCAGGAACCTGAGCAGCGATAGCAGTGAACAGAAATGAGGGTATGTGGAGCAGAGAGCAGGGATAACAAAGAAAAAGAAATTAAATTAAGGCAGAAAATTGGTACCTTTTTCCCAAAAGATCAACACAGCTATAATCGAAAACCCTGTTCAGCGTCTCAGCATCTCATTGAGCTGACTTCTCTCTGTAAATCAGTGCTGAAGTGAAAATCTGTAAGCAACATCAATATTTAGAGGGAAAATGGTCAACAAGTGACTGCCTCTATTGAGATCTAGACTGCATTAAGAACAAAGTTCGAAAGCAGTTTCCTGGTGATTATTGTCTACCGAACGTGGCCATTTCTGCCCAGACCACAACAGGAAATTTGAAACAGTTCTGCTGGAAAACAAAAGGCAACAATAATAGCAATGACAACATTCAGTACTTCAGAGCGCTTCACATACATGAAGTACCGCACGAACATTAATTGATCCTCATCATCCCCCTGAATCAGGTATGTATTATTAATAGCACCATTACACAAGCGCTGCAGATTCCCATTATTTCTTTTGCTCACTTCTCTTACTCCTCTTTCACACGCAGAGCACATCCCTCGTTGATTTCTTTGCTCTCCTTTTTTTTCTCCTCCAAAGTTTCTCACCACCTCCTCTGTCACCTCTGCCCTCTCTGTTCCCGCTGCTAAACATTTTAAGACACACGAGGGTGTTTTATATCCTTGGCAAGCCCGAACACTTGGAGCCAGTTCATCTCATCTACCTGCATCACTTACACCAAATGCTCCTAATTTTTTACTGGATAGATGGCTGGCTCACACAGAACACCTACTCGAAACACGCAGTCATCTGACAGCAATTAAAACCACAGCTCATGGTATCTGCACCAGCACAGGAACCTGCTTCATCCCCAGCCAATTCTTCTGGAAAAAGACAAACACCTAGTTTTTGAGTGCTGGAACAATAAAAGCAATAGCCATACAGCAGCCCTACAATGACAAAACAAATCTACTACAGCAATGCTGGTAACCACTAAGTGGTCTAGTTTTCACCTAGTTTGACAAAGAATTAATCGTAGGTAATGAAACCTGTGATTTCTATCTAAACCTTGGAAGCCTTCAGTAATTTTTAAACAAATTCATCAGTATCACCTGCTATCATTCACGCAGAAGGCAAGTACTAACACAAGGGAAATTTTCACTTGCATACACACACAATATTGCAAATTTAATCAAACACATTAGTCCCTTCTTCGCTGACTTAGGCTTTAACTCATCAGTAACTGCAGAACTTCTCAGGGCAAACACCAAGTTGACAGGACTTTTTCCTCTGAGGCAGCACTTTTCAGAGCAGTTTTTAAAATGCTAAGCTAGATCTATTCATCAAAATTTTCTTTAGATGGAAAACAGCATTACAAGAAAAAGGATGACTTGTTTACTTCCCTGGCCAAAAGCATACAGACAAAAAAGATGAGAAACACCTTCACTGAATGGCACAGACTCAAGAAAACAAGCACTTAAAAATCAACTGCAAGCAGGACCATGCTAGACTTGGTATTTCTTTAAGCATGATATGCCTAAAGATCTGAGATATTAGGTAAAAATATTAACAGGGCATAATTATTCGATAAGACCTGTCTTCCAGCATAGAAAAAACTATCCTTGAATTACTTGTATAGAAATTAAGTATGAAACTGAGTGACTTAGAAACTTTATGCCTCCAATCCAGAGTCACTAAAATTTCTACACAGTCCTCCTTTCTCAGTAAAACTCAGCCCATTTATAAAATGCATTGAACCAGCAGTGAAGCTTTTGGTCGAAGAGAGAACAACACGATACGCTTTCTCCAACCCTCCCAAAATTGGGGTCCAGCCCCATCCCAGCAGGTTTATGTATGACAGGGTTTGCATAGCACTTCCCTGTTGTAATTCCCTTGGTGCTTAATATACGTTGGATCCTCTTATTCATTTGGTACTCACAGATTTTCATTTCTCCTCCTTTTTTAAGATGTGTAAAATTAACACGGACAGATTCTCCTTCATTCTTAGTCCTTCTAGAAGAGATGATGTTCAAAATGTGACAGAAAAAGATGGGTTTAGACAAAAAAAAGCAGAGGTCCAGCTTCTCTCCCAGGTCCCTCCTGGAGAAGACCTTTCTGGCTCTCCTCCTGTTACTCCCCAGCGAGATACGACCACAAACACCACTGCCTGGGGCTGCCAGCTGCTTTTCAGAGAGTATTCATGGAAAACGTCACCAAGAGTAAACTTGAGTTTCTGCTTATTCCGTCTCCCATGGTAGTGCATAAAGAAAAAGGCTGACAGGCAAGTCTGGGACTCTGAAACGGGGTAATAGCTCATACAGTCTCCATTATCAGATCATGGAAGAAATACGTAATAGGTTAAAGTACTTAACATCATAAATTAAGTAGGGTCAAGACCAAGTGAACACTCCAATATGTGATACAAATATATAGCTCCTGTGGCATTATTTTATTACTTTGCAGCATATAAATAATACACTTGCAAAGTTTACGTTCCCATCTCCATTTTCAAGCTCGTTTCATAGGTTTCACAACTTCACTAAATACATATTTGAATTTTTCCTGTTGTGTCTTTGTGGCAATCTCTATACATTCATCGCATGGTTATATCAATTAGCCTAGCACCGTTATTTACTGCTCTGTAAAAAAGACTCACAGAAAGCTTGTCAGCTTAGCCTAGGAGCATGTTTGGTGTAATCTGCCAGCTCCTGGTGAATTCTTGGGACCTTTTACTAGCTTTTACAGCTTTCTGGCATTAAGAGCTCATTAATCGCTTTCTCTGAAGACAAATATGTTGAAACTCTTCAATAATTTCCTCTGCCAGTATCTATTTCTGAGCTTACCAATTCTCAATTCAAAAGTTTCGAACATCTTGCAAGCTTCGATTTCTCGCCAAGGTTGTCTTCTGCTTCTACACCAGACTTCCTCTCGCACCTCACCGTTATCTCCACCTTGCAGCAGCATTCCATGGTTAATTTTGGCCCTGCTTCCTAAAGATTCCCAACTCACACTTATTTCTTGCTTTCTTTTATTCAATGTCATGAGGTTTGTTTTTTTTTTAAGTTCTGACGTTTCAAATAAGCACTCAGAAGATTGTTTTAACTGTTTCTGAACTTGCCTCATTTAATTCTATTTTTCATGTGTTTTTATCCTAAAAACATACTGGAGAGTTTTGTATGTTTCAAGAGATCAAAGTAATCGATGCCTCAACAAATGCCAGGCTCAAATTCTGAAAAGACATCTGCCAGATAACGTTTACAAAATGTTTTAAGTTTTCCTCTCTTCACTGATTCAAACTACTCAAAACAGTGCACTCAGAGGAACACCAGTTTCTTAGAAGTACACCTTACAACTCCAGAAATATTTTACTTGTTACTCTAACAGAATGCCAAACATATGAAATTATTTACTACTGTTCAATTAACAAAAAGCAAAACAAAAACCCCCAAACACAACATCCAGAATGAACAGGTCTACTCAGACACTGATTCTTCAAAGCACATTTCAGATAACATTCACCTCCGTATCATTAAAATTTGGTTTCTTTCCTGGAAACTTTACATTTCCTGATCATGCATTTCTAATAATAAGTCCAACCTAAAGTCATAATACAAGCTTTAAATCAATTCCTAAGTCTTAAAGATATCAAAGAAAATTGAGGATGAAGTGGTGGTAAGCCACAACTGAAAAATTTAGGTTTGATTTCCTGTAAAAGCTTTTTGTGCAGTTCTGCCTAGGAGTTATCTTTAAGAAAGCACATTTGAGAAAGCCACAAGTCACTTTTTTCTCTTTTTTTTTAATGAAAGCCCGCCCTCTTGTGGAAGATTGAGGTTTAGCATCACTACTGTCAAGAACACAGAGGCAGGAAGATCAGTGCTAATTTTTGACTACATCCTGGCTGTCTAGGACAGGCAAACTTGCCTGCAGAGGTTGGAGTGTGCTGCTTTGCTGAATGGGGAGTACGTAAAGCAGCTACTCATGACCTAAAGCCCTCTTTGCAACAGGAATAAAAAGAAAGTGCTTTCTATTTTGCTTGCTATCTCAGCCAATAAACTACAGTCAATTTGAAGTATTTGAGCACACAGGTGATTTTGGAATTAGTGTCTTCCATCACCTTCTGTACATACTAAGAAGAGACAAAAGGGAAAGAAAAAGTTTCTTCTCTGTCTGTCTCTGACAAATAAAGAAGAAGAAAGGGGAAAACAACTAAATTATTGTGACTTTCAGTTTTGTTTTTCAACCCTTATCCCAGTCCATATCTGCTTCCTTAAGAGGAGGCCAAGCATGGAGTCTGAGCCACGAGTGACTTGTGAAAGCCCACTGAAGACAACACATAGATGTCACGCAGTGTTGACAAGATCCTAAACTCAAAATCACTGTAAACTACCACAACCACTACCTATTCTATGCACTTCACGGTCCATATATGCAACAAATGTTTCTCCAGCTGCGTAAGTAGCAGCACCGTCACAGAATACATAGTGCAAGGCATTCATTGCACAGATCTACAAATGGAGAAAGCTTTCACACATACTTGAAATTAAGAATGTTTCATCCTCCACAGAAGTTGGGCACCTACCTATTTATGAAAGTAAATAACAAATAACACCTACTTTCGAAGGTGTTCGTGTTCCTTCAGGAAGAGCTCTGTTCTTCTGTTATTCACGCCAGATCCACTTTTATATGATCTAGAACGTATTTTAAAAACATTTGAAAAACATTTTTTTCCAGAGACTTTTCATTAGACATTAAGTGATTTACATATGTATAAAGCTTTGTTACTTTGAAGTGACCAAACAGAAAAGTTCCAGTCACATTAAGACAGTTTTAAAGTGATTTGGCATAGCTTAATAGTTTCACTTTAAAGACATGAGTTCCTTTTCATAGTTAAAAAAAACAAAACAAAACAAAAAACCAAAACAATCTTATCACAACTTTAATGAGAGTTGTGAACTCAAGCAACTTTTTCTGCTTTATTCAGAGCACAGACAAATAAGCTATGCCAAGTATTCTTCCTCTGAGGACAGCCCCGTCCCATTGCTGTAACACACACACCAACTCACTCGATATCTTTTCGTACTGATCCCAACAGATTCTCCCTTTCTCGTATTGCCAAAAAGTTTGCTTTGGTTTTGTGGAATTCATGTGTATAATCCTGTAATAAAACAATTATTCCAAAATTAGGATCCTGAGATCAATTCACCAACACAAGATGCTCAAGTAAGATCCAACTCTCTTTTAAAATGTTAACTGCTCTCTAATACAAAGTGCAAGACCAGCTTATGAATTTAATATAAAAAATGCCTGGAAGTTGATGCAAAGTATTTCTAAAACTCGCTGCTCTTACAGTATTTGCTAACTTTCGATAGCTACAGCAAGGGTTTTAAGAGGGAAATCCACTGCAATTTCTCCCAGTTTCACGTATCTTCACCTTTCTGATGAATTATTTTGTGTTGGAATTTCCCATTACTGACTGAATCAGAAGCCCCAGTAAAACCTACTACTTTGGCGTGGTGAAGATATTCTTGGGTTTATTTTGATGAATAAAAAAGTCTTTTCTGAAAACCAATTTAACTGGTGTCCACCAAAAGCACTGCAAACATTCAGCACTATATTTCATATAAATGCCGTGGCTTTTAAAACACACTATGCTTTTTATCTTGTCTGTTGCAGAGATACAAAACAGAAATCAAGCCATACACGACCAGCCAAATAAAAGACACTTTTAACATGACTATGCCATGAAAACATCACCAGTTTGAACTATAGTTGATTTATAACTTTAATTAGTACCTTTAGCCATCACATTTCCTTCAATTCCCTTTAGCAGTTTAGATGCTTTTACAATTCTATTTTCTTAAGTGCAATGTTCCCTCTCATATTGCTGTGTGACAGGTCACACGGACAAGATAACTCATCACAGTACCTTTCCCCTTCTGCTATATAAAAGGCACCTACATAAGACGGCATGCTTTACTGTCCCTTCTTAGCTAGGTACTAGTCACCAATATGACATTAAAAAATACAGTTTTATCAACTCAGTTCAGCGATTGGGGTGCCTGGAGAGAAGAAAAGTGAGATGGGATCAGCGGCATTTACATCTTCTGGCAAGACATTCAAGCACGCTGTAATATCAGCACTGGAATAATAATAGTTATTTCAAACAAAACAAGAAAATAAAAGGAAGAAGAGCACGTGTTTGTTACCTGCAATATGTCTCTATGACGCTGTAACGTATGCATCAGTGCAGCGTTCAGGGATGGGACTCCTGCGCTATTTGTGTATTCTGCCATTTTGTCATTTATTCCAGTAAGCTAGAGGAAAAAAAGAAAAACAAACTAAAAAACCATGAAACGGGTTATTCTTGTAGGAAAGTTACAATGCGTAAGTTTAAGGAGATGCTTTAACAACAGATGTGTATCTTCAGAAACACTTGCCTACCACTCACACTACCTTTTCCTAACATTCATCACAAAAACCTGTACTGCAGCATCTCCTAGGTGCTCAAGTAAAACCACAGTAACCTGAGTTACCTTTCCCAGAAGCTGTTCAATCTCCACAGCCATGGTCTCAAACATTCTGTCCTGGCTTGATCCATTTAAGAGAGGAGTTGTATCAGAGCTAAAGAAAATTAAGAATAGCAGTTATAGAAAAGTATAATAACTTTTAATGAACGCAAGTACTAACCAGGCTGTTAGCTTCCTAGAGGGAAAAATTAAGCCTAGAAAATAACATTAACTTCTCATACTGTGTCACTAGTGCAGGTAAGAGTTAAAGGCATGCAACACATGGAGAAAATACAACCTCTCCTTGGAAGGTTTCCCTGACACCAAACACTTGTCTCCTACCAGCACAGGTCTAGCACCAGTGCCCTTCTTTCCCCAACTTTTAAGCTTATTTATTCATTAGCAGGAGTGAGCACTGTGCTATTAGCATGTTACACCAGCAACATAATTACACCTCAGTAACACAGTGCTGGGACAACCCACTGACCTATTAAACAGTCAGCACTCTGTGGAGCAATACAAACCACACAATTTATCACAATCACAGTTTCATACATTGCACCTTCCCAATGTGCTTTTTAAGATAAATTAAAACCACAAGGAAAAGTCGTATCTAAGCAACAGAACAGAAGCACAACAGAGGGTATGCCAACTGCACAAGTATGACAACTAACACCTTTCAGAAACTATTCTTTACTTTGGTAATCTACAATAACTAGAGCAAGAGAAGTAAGTTTTACATAGGACAGCAAAAATAACTAAAACAATTAGATTACATGCCAAGCAATACCACAGAGCCAGAAGCAAGAGAGAGACTGGGACTCTGATTCAAGAGTAACAGGATCATTCTTGAGGGTCTCTCAGGCTTCCAGACCCAGAAATTCGTGGAAAGATCCAAAACTGATTTAATCAACAAATTAAATAACAACCAACCCACACAGCAGTCACACTCACAACTGTCAGACAGCATTGGGACCCACAGTTAATAAGCAAAGGTTGTGCACAGGGACAGAGAAGTTGATAATTAGTGCTGAAGAACTGCAGGGGAGACCTCAACTCTGGCCCATAAGCTACAAAGACTTGAAAAGTTTTATCATACTGGTGCTGCAGTCAAACGCAAATCTGCCTAAAGCAATCAGAAACTATTCATGTATACACACACATATACGTATGTATTTATCTGGTCCATATACACACATATAAATATATGGAGATCTCACTGTTACTACTCGTTCTAGGAGAAAGCCAGAAACAGTTCCCCTTCCTGAAGAGAGGGCTACTCTTCTGTGCAACCCTGGGCCAGTCGCAGCTGCTCAGTGCTCCAGTTCCCTTATCATTAAAACAGGAATTACAAACACCACACCAGCCCACCTGGGAGGTGTAAGGCTACACTCCCCTAATATCAAAGGCACTGATACCTTCTTGCTAGTTTAATATAAGAAAGAAAAAAAAGCTGATGTAACAAGCATTAAAAAGCCCTATCATCAGCTCGCACACCAACGCCACAGTTACAAAGTGAAGTTTAAATTCAGCTTCCCCTAGTGACATACATGCTTTCACGATGCACCTCTGCAGCCCACACAGTCACAGGCCAATATCACTCAATATTGCATCCAGACCAACACCAGCACAAACGAGCTTCCTAAGAAGCTAAGCATAAAAGGCACAGGTGTGATTAGCACTATGCAAATTATAAAAATGAACCAAGCACCACAAGCAGCATTTAAAACATAAAAAAACAGGCTAGTACCTATACCTGTCGCGTCTTCCGTCTCGGGTGCTGCTGTAGCTGGTGCAGAGCTTGCTGAAGGAGACCAGCTTCAGGTCCAGCTCGTTCTCCAGCTGCCTCGCCTGCTTCCTGAGATCTGCACAGGGCGGCCGAGAGCGGGGAACAAGTCACAAACGCGCCCGGGGACCCCACGCCTTTGGGGGCCGCGTTTTCACGACGTGCTTTCAAGCGGAGCTTGCGCAGACCGCTCGGAAGCCCCAGAAAGGGGACCCCCCCCAGAGAAGGGGGCATCGATAACGGAGCCCTCGCAGAAAGAGGAACACCCCGCGCTGAGAGAGGGGAGGGAGCCCGGCTGAGCACCTGCACACCCCACCCCACACAACCGGGAGCGTCCTGCGCAGGTTGCCACC